TATACCAGAGCTTAGTAAGATAGCCTCCTCTTGGGTTGTTTTATGTTTTAATAAATTATACTATAATAAATAGCTTTATGCATGCAACTTTTAGAATTCTGCTAGTGTATATTTAGGATAGAAACCTACCAGGATGATTTTATGGTCAAATAACTTTTAATATTATTTTTTTTTCACACAGTCATTTTTAACCTTGACTATTTCTTCAGCTTCTAAATGTCTCTCCTTGCCTCCAGCCTCACTGTATAGCTCTTACCACACTTATGCCAAGATTTGGGGTCTGAAATACAAATCTGATTATTCTACCCCTTTGCCTACAAACTGCCATGATTTCTCCAGCTCTGTGAGGTGCAAGTGCTGCAGTGAGACCGTTCATACCATCTCTGGCTTTGCTTTCCAGCTCCACTTCCAGCCCCTCCCCCATACAAATTTAACTCCAGCTTTACCAAACCTTTAGAAGTTTCCAAAAGACATTTACCTTCTCATGTTTTACACATATTTTTCTCTACCTTATAATCTCTATACATCCATAAACATTTAGTTCAAATTCTATCTCTGACATTTCTCCCTGAGTTCCCTCAAAATCAGAATCAAACTTCCTACTTTGCTCAGATGGTACTCTGTGCCTCCCTCTGTTGGAGCCGTGAATACATGTTTTGGCAATTCTTTATTAAAAAGAATTGTCTGTGATGCTCCAGAACTGTGCTGAAAATTTACACATGTATTCTATCAGGACAGCAAGGTCAAGTAACATACCCAGCATATAGCATGCAAGAAGTTAAGAGCCTGTATAATCCAAACCCAGTTGCTATTATTCTAAAAGCTTGAGGCCTGTTAAGTAGCCCACACTACTTTTCTAAATGTTGTGAATTCTTCTAGTTTACTTTTTAGCTTCCAGACCCCTCATTGCACCTTAACTTCATTAAATCAGCAGATTTTAATAAAGATAGCATGGTCTTTGAAATCAGACAGACCCAAGTTTTATCCCTAGCTCTTGGCTTTAACATTTATAATAATAAAACCTTGAGCAAGAATTTTAACCTTTAGATGCATTTTCTAATCAATATAATAATACCTAAACTTTGGGGTAGATCAAGTGATATTTGTAAGACCTTAGCACAATTCTTGGCACATTAGTGTGAGTTTGTACACATCAGGGATCTTCTAATAACAACAGGGAGTTTGCTTTGTTCACCTTCATATTTCAGTAAACACATATGGTCAGTGGTCAGTATATAACTATCTGTGTGTAAATAATTTGATTGAAAACTATTCCCTAGCAAACTTGCTCTCCCTTCTAAGCTCCTTTTCCTAATTGAAGATGTCACTGACTTGATCACTGCAGCTTCTATTCAGAAAATTCAGGTATCACACTTGGAGATACCTCTGACCCTGAATAAGGCCACACTTCCCATGTCCCCAGTCAGCGAATGAGTGTGCCTGTCAGTTCTGTCTCAGCAATGACTCTTCTGTCTCCCTCATCCTGCTTCTATTCTGTGTCCTGCTCCAGTCCCATCTCACCTGCTTTCTGAAAGGTCAGTCTATAAGCTAGTCTCAGCTCCTGCCTTTCCTGGTCCAAGTCACCAACCCATCCCATCACCCAAAACTAATAAAAATGTTCCCTTTTTAAGTGTCATACCTAGTTATATTACTATATATATAAGCAGCTCCCCCAAAATAAGGTTCGATATCCTAAACACTTCACTTAACTGCTTTATAAATGGTCCAACCTGACTTTCTTGTCTTAGCATCTTTTACATGCTCAAGTTTGCATGCTAGAACAGTTCAGCAACATATACTTTATACCTTTAAGCCCTTGGGCACCATTTTCCTACCTAGAAAGTTGGATCTATCTCTATCTATCTCTTCTCATTGAAAACTCGAGACGAAGCCTTCTCTGAGGCACCCATGTGCGTTTCCCCCTCTGCTCTGGACAGTGACTCATCAGCTCTGTGATCACATTCTGCCACACTCTGTGAGCGTTTTGAGTAAGAGGCTGTGGCATGTTCCTCTGAGGAATACCCACAGCATTGGAGCCTCCCCATAGCAAAACTGCCACATGCTGGCTGACTTGACTTTACAGGATCAGAGGTTTGAGGAGTTGTAAGGAATTTTAGAAATCTTCTGGTATAGTATATACATTTAATATACTCGTTATATTTGTCATTTCAGGTCAGAAAACTATGAAAATAGAATAACACATGAACAATAAAATCAAACATATATGTCTTTGGTTTTCTCAGCTAGTAATAATTCTTTAAATTTTTATACTAATATAGCAGGATCTTTTATCTCTGCATTTACAAATGCTCCAAAGAGAGGCTCAAGTAATCATTTTCTATATGTAAATTCATACTTGGAGATAATTGGAGGTATACCACAAGTCATATTGATAAAATGCTTCAGAGGACCATACACTCAGGATTAAAAGTTCATTTGTTGGCTCCACTATTGCTGGCCACAGTTTTATTCTTCACTGTTTTGTCTTCGGCATTGTTGGTTAGTCTTCTGTTATTTATGAATGCCTACAATCTGCCCCAGCCTCCACTTGTCTTCCTCAGTATTTCCATAGAGATAAAGCTGGAGATATCATTCAGAAAGATATAAATTAGATTCATAAAATAAAAAAGAGGTTTTAATTAAATGGAAAAACAGAAATTCAAAAAACCAGCTTACTATCTTAGAAAAATACAGTTTTGTCATCTGTGCTGATATTAGCTGAGGTGTCATCATGGCAGTGAGATGATAAAGAAACGCATCCTGTATTTCTGTCCATGGTGGCATTCGATCATATGAAAGCTCAGATCTCTCCACCTGGAGAGGAATAAAAGCTAATAATTACCCCTGTGCATCAAGAGAGCTTCACTAGTTGCCCAACTAGGTGATGAGTTTAATGATTTGGTGGGGTTTGAAATTTTAATTTAACTAAAATTCAACTTGAATTTTATGTGGCCTATTTTATTTTATTATCTTATGAGAGGGAGAGAATGATGTTTACAGCCTTGGTTTTTACACTGACAGAAAAGACAAAAAGAAAACATTTCAAGTCCCGCTTGATTTGCAAGACTAAACCCTTATAAACTCAAATGACAAATGTATGATTTGTGTAATCTAATTACTCACAATTAGGTTGTTGTTTTGTCATAAAAATCTGTGGTGAAATGTAACAGGAGAGTGGATAAATAACAAAAGATGTGATTTTAAGAGCAAATTCCAAACTTGGAAACACTCTGAAGAAAAGCACTCCGAAGTTTTGGTGGGGAATATTAAATTCCTTCTACAGCTACAAAAACAGGTGATTCTAATAAAAGAAGACATGAGGGACTAAAGGTAGTACATTTTTAAAAAATCATTCCCAGGTTAAGCCCTTGTAAGACTTGATATTAATTGATCTGTTCACCACTTTTCTTAAGTGTTACATCAGATAAATATAGGCACCAGCTGTATTCCTCAGAAGCTTGTGTCAAACTGATGCAACCCAGGCTCTAAATGACACGATGCAACCAATGGAACTGTAAAGATTTAAAACACTTTCTCTCTCACAGTTTAATGAAATTAAGGAATTGTATTTACTGTCTAGATCAAGAGACCTCAAATGGTAAAGGTAGAGAAACCTGTCGTTCATTGCTACCATCACATCACTCTGGTTCAGGACTCCATCCACACAGCCAAGTGAAATGAAGCCTTAAAGGTGACCCTGGAGAGGATGTGATATCACAGCTCCAAAACTTTCTAAGATAATTAATATTCTTCTACCCAGACAGAACAACTATTGACATCAATGCAATGCTTACGTCTTATGGAATGTGTTCCAGAGCCCCAGCTAAAAAGAGGTGTGTGCATAAAAAAACAAAACAAAACAAAACAAAAAAAACCTATTTTCTCTCACGCGGTGCCCACTGTCTCAAGCACTAGCCTTCCCATCGTTGATCATCAGCCCCTGAACTGTGTTCCTGGGACTGACTCCTGAGGACTCCGAGAGGAAAACTGTCCTGAATGGTGACTGGAAAGAAAGGAATCTTCATTCACTTTTCCTACTTGACACTTCACACTGTCCTTATTCCTAGTTGTGCTTCATGTTTCTCAAAGAACATATTACAGGCACCATTCAGTTTTCATTTCTCTTCTTCCCCATCCTGTTCATTACCCTAAACTTTGCTATTGCAATTAACTTTTTCTTCCTTCCTCTCTTCCCTAGAATGTTTCAAGTTCTCTGGGTCTTCTAGCCTTACCTCCTTCCAATTCCTTCCTCCTGGGTCCCAGCTTCTCAGACCTGCCCGGGATTGCCCTTTGCCGCCTGTTTGCCCTCTCGCTCCCCGAGCCCCTTCACTCCTCGGATCCTGCCTCGTGCTCTCCGGGTTCTGGGCTGTCTGCTGCTGAGAAAGCTTGCTGCAGCAAGGACCGAGTGCCCCGCGCGCAGCCCAGTGGCAGAAGAGGGCGAGGCTGAGCGAACAGCGAGGGCTGTAGGGGAGGGAGGCAGCAGGTCCTCCCAGAGCGCCTGCGAGAATGCGGCAGGGGGCCGGGGGCCTGGGAGGCGCTGACTCCCCGCGCCTCTGATCTGGGTGGCGCAGACCCGGCCCGCGGGCCAGTTTGCTGCCAAGTGCAGCCGAGGAGCAGAGACGCCTGGAAAGCACAGAGCGGGGCGCCGGGGGTGCCCATCCCCAGAGTAGGTCCCTCTGCGGACTGGGGAAGAGGAGGAGAAGGAGCCAGTGAGCGGTGAGGAGATTGTGAAACCTGTTCCAGGCTGGCTCGGAGCGTCGGGAGGCTGGGGCGCTCCGGTGAGCACCCGAAGGGTGAAGCGGCCGGGCGGTGGGCGAGGGGCGCGCGGAGGGAGTGGCGCGCGCGGGGGAGGGCCGCGGCTCTGCAGGCTGGGCACCGAGGCTGGGCCAGCGGGCAGCGCGGGCGGCCACCGCGCCAGCGTTCTGTGTCTGTGAGAAAGCGAGGGGCGAGCGCGAGTGCGAGTGAGGCGAGGAGAGAGCGCATGTCTCGTCCCCGCCAGCAGCCAGCAGACGCTCCACCACCATCTTTTGCATGTGCAACATTTGCAGCCGGACGGAAAACCTCTCCCAGGGCTATGGAGACTGCGGGAAAAAGCTGGCAGCTCGCGATGGATTGCTAAAAGGAAAGAATCCGAATCCGAAACCACCCAAACCTATCTCCTTTTTTTATTCTTTTTTTTTTTTTTGGTTGTTTTTTTAATTTTAGCGCCATCGTCTTCAATGCCTCTCTGAACAGCCTTTAGGAAGAGTGCGAGAGAAAGAGCGCGCGCCTAAGAGAGGAGAAAAGAAGATGAGGATTATTTGCAGACAGATTGTCTTGTTATTTTCTGGATTTTGGGGACTCGCCATGGGAGCCTTTCCAAGCAGCGTGCAAATAGGTGAGCTCTGCCCCGATGGGGTGTGCATGTGGGTGGCTGTAGCAGATATCCCAAAGTGAGTTAAACGAGTTGCTGATGAGCAATTCAGGAAAACCTTCGGTGGTTCCTTTCCCCTCTCCCTGCTTCTCTCTTTTCTCCCCATCACACACACACACACACACACACACACACGCAGAGAGAGAGAGAGAGAGAGAGAGAGAGAGAGAGAGAGAGAATATCGTTCTCTCGGGTGCAGGTTCAATTGTAATATACACAGAACTGCCCACCTTCTGTCCTCAGCACATACTCCCCATTTCCACCTTTGGTTCAAGTCGCTTAAGTAGGATTGGAATAAGTTGGAAAAAAACTCCATGGGGTTTGATAACATTTTTTGTGATATTCTTTTCATCCATTTCTTTATAGAATGAAGAATGTCGAGGTTTTTTTGCTGTTGGTTTTGTTTTGTTTTGTTTTAATGCACTTCTTCCCATGCTGGACGCTGTATCTTTCTCCCTTTTATATAGAAAAATACTATTTGGGCAAAAAAGAAAGCGTTTCCACCTGCATCCCCCCCCACCCCCCCAACCCCCACCCCCCGCCTTTGCTTGCTACCAGTTAACTGATTCCAAAGTTAGATCTTCTCTCGTTTTATTTTGTTTTCTTCTGGAATCTTTTGCCCTTATTTCTGCATCGCTACTATTTCCGGAGAACTATCCATCTTTGGCTTTTCTTGCTATTCTCCTCTCCCATTTTAAAGGGACGCAGCTATTGAATTTCTTCCAGCTAAGCCCAGCCTCACTCAACACTGCATCATTTCTCGTGGACTGTGCACAAAACGGAGCTAATTAGGCTGAGTCCGCCAGCTGCAGAAAAACAAAGTTCATGTCTCCTTTCTGATTTCCCTCTTCCCTGTGTGTCACCACATCTTTTCATTTCTGCATTTTAATGCAAATCTTCTTTTCTGTTCATCTGCATGCATCTCCCAGAGAAATGCCCTAAGCTGGCTGATGGAACTGTGTGCTGGGAACCATGGGGAGGGTGAGAAAGAAAGCGGAAAACACAGTAAATGGTCTCAGAGGTCATTGTGATCATGACAGATTGGGACAGGGAAAAGCTGAGCTGTCCTCAAGACTAAAATACTAAGCGTGCACCTTAGGGACAAAGGCCAGTCTCCCAAGATGTGGCAGGGATACCTCCTTAATTGTATGTTCTGGGGAATGGCAGTGAATTTGACAGTGCTTGGGATGGGAATAACATTTACAAGAGAAAACACTGAATGCGCTTTTCCTGTTGTTTTTAATAGGTGGTCTCTTCATCCGAAACACAGATCAGGAATACACTGCTTTTCGATTAGCAATTTTTCTTCATAACACCAGCCCCAATGCGTCCGAAGCACCTTTTAATTTGGTACCTCACGTGGACAACATTGAGACAGCCAACAGTTTTGCTGTAACAAATGCTTGTAAGTAAAACATAAACTGTGGATAAACTAGAAGAGAATTAAAATGAGGCAATAGAGTTCCTTTCTTCTTTATTATTAATATTTAATTTTTTAGAAAGAAATTCAAGCTTCCCACATAGGGCTGGTTCCAGAGCAAAGGAGAGTTAAAAACAAGATTTAGTCCTGAGATAGTCAGATGGCCTTTTTTTCTTTCCCTCCTTTTTTTTTTCTTCCTGTTTTGTTTTGTCTCTTCTCCAGATTATTCAAGTTAATTTCTCCTTTAACATTTCAGTGTTATTTTTATTACCTGAATGTCAAGTCAGTGAAAATTGCACTAAATCTGGTTTTGATTCTGTGCCTTTGGTTTTTCTTGTTTGCTTTTCACTTGAGTAAGCGAATGTCTTGATCTTAAGGTAGACACATGGTCTCTTACACTGATAAAAGCCATGAAAGGTGTGCTAACCGTGAGAGAGACAGGGAAGTGGTGGTGTGGAGGGTATATATTCTATCGGTTGGCTGACGCTGCAGATGACCTGGTGATGTCACTTGAGGCTGCCCTGCTCTTATATTCTGGGTTGTAAATGTCTCCTACTATCACATAATGCATATATCCTATGGATGTAAATCTGTGAATCCTTACCATGATGCCAAATCATGTTAGTCTGCAATTCACCTGAATTCACAAATGAATCTATCATCCCACACAATGAAACTTTAAAGGGTGACCTCACCTAATGCTATAATGAAACGGTTTTTCAGTGCCAAAATATTGCATAACTTAATGTAAAAAAAATATGTATATATACAATCAACTGTGGATTAATTGAAAACTCTCTAAAATGTGATCAGTCCATATAGCATTTATGATGCATTTTCAGTTTTCATGTTTCAAATATCTCCTTTACGTGCTAATTTACTACTGCTCAAAATTTATGTGTTAAGATAATGGTTATAGATTACGTAAGACATTTAGGAATAGTTTCTACATAAAATTTTGCACAAGAGTAATAAAATGTTCAATCTGATTGTAGAGCAGTTTTATTATAGTAAGTTAAGTATATTTTAATTTTAAAAGCTCTCTCTCTTGGTATAAGAAAGTGTACCGACTAAAGTGAAATTGGAAACAGAGTTTTTAAATGTTTGAGGATATCTGTTCCATTAATTTACTTTATATTTATTTGCCATTAATTCATCTCACTGATAATATGATCAATTTTCCTTAATTTTTGGCTTCTAACCATTACTTTATTTTAGAAATTAGTTTCATAAGGAAGTCAAAGCATTTGACATTTTTGTAAATGGACACATTATTTTGCAACAATACTATAGTTCCTATGAATACTACTTACTTAAAAAAACCTTTTTGTGTTTAGTGATAACATTAATATTATAGTATAGCAGGTGAGAATCATGTTCAAGCATAAATGCACATAAAGTAGAGCTAGCTTTGTGGACAGTCATATTTGCAAGTTGTATAAGTTATTGGTATTGTGTTCCAAGTTTTGAAAGGGAAGGCAACATTTCCAATAGTTCTAGGTATAAAACATTCTCTTTTGTATACGAATATTATGCGTTTATTTAAATTTTTTTCATGTCTCTCCTCTGAGATTCTGTGATAAAAAAATTACTTTCAAAATAATGTAGGATTCAAATATATGAAGGCACTTTATCAACAGTAAATTACTAATGAAATATTCATTTTTATCATTATAATTTGAAAAACTTTCTTAAAACTGTCAGATATATTAGCCTTGTTTTGTTTTGCTTTTACAAATTATGTTCTTAAATATTCTAGTTTGTATTATGACTTTTAGCTATATAAACTATAAAGTACAAATCCTTTCTTTCTCCTTAACATTTGTTAATCACATTCAGGATGATTTTAATTGGTATTTTTTATTTATGTAATAAAAATATTATATAAAATGAAGTGCTCCCGGTAAAGTACCTGTAGGCATGAGAAGCTGTGAGGAAGCTACACACAGGAAGAAAAGGTATAAAATATAGACAATATGCTGCTTTTTCACACTTAAGATTGATAAAATTGAACCAAAGTAAACTTTAAAATGGCTTATTTTGAATCCAAGTATAACACAATGTTAGTGATATCATATTTTTCCATAATCACAATTAACTGATTTTGTGTACATATTTAAAATAATTTTTTAAAAAACATAAATTGTAAAGACGAAAAAAAACCCAAAACATTTCTTTGTGAAGAAAATAAATTTGGGGAAGGAAATGAGTATGCTGAATGTCCATAATGCAAACCTAAGGTGAATTTGGGAAAAAATCAATTATCAGAGAGTATGGGTCAGGTGACTGTGTTTGTTGAATGGACTGACTGAGAACATTTACTGTGTGATTTTCCAGCCTAATTAATGGTACAACATAAGCAGTGAATATGAGGTACTTTATATATCAAGCTCTATTCCTTTGAGTACAAAAAGATAAAAATAGTATTCTGGGAAATTAACAGGAAATTATTCCTCACAGTGATACAGACTGGCTTTTTAAATTTTTTATGTTGGATTAAATATAAAGATATAATATGTGACTGGTTAGGTTTATTTGAATTGTGATCTTACTGCAGTGGATTCTTGTAAAACTGCAGGATCTAGTCTGTCTATGAATAAAGACTATTAAAAGGATATTTTTATGGAATGTATAATCAAACACCAAAACAAATTTGAGAATAAAAATAATTGGTCTTCTATTGGAGAGATATAATTTAATGCTGGTTCTTTTGCCTCAAAATTAATTTAACTCTCTAAGATTACTTTGAGCCATCAAAACATTCTGTGCATAGAGTTTACATACTGCTCAAAGCTAAACCTGTTTAACTCAAATTTACCACTTTTAGTATTAATCCCATTTCTGAGGGAGGAAAAATAATTTTAGTTTATAGTTTTATTTTATTTTTAACAATATTTGTGTCAGATTAAATTAAAATATTATTTTCCTTTTTAACTATTCACATTATTAGAAAGTCATACTTTGTTCAATGTAAAACTGAAGTATAAGAAATACAGATAATACAAAATTATGACTTATTTTAATAACAAAAAAATAGATTTAATAGATAGCCTAAGTGTTAAAATGTCAAAATGTAATTAAAGGTATACATTTTTTTTGCTGTGATCTATTGATTTATTCAGAGTATGGAGAATAGAAAAGTGGATATTTTAAAAATAAATTCATTATGGTCAATGGTCTTTAATAAAATATACAACTGACCCAAAATAGCTATATGTGCAAACATACATGCAGTTCAATTGGACATGTCTTTTGGAAAATGTTTGAGACAACCTAAAAGCAGGCTGTATTCTTACATTTTTTCAATAGTTAATTAATAGAGAGAGAGATTTTTCAGAGGATGATGTATATTAAATTTAACCAGAAGTAAAAACCAAAATACTAACGTAGTCTATCACCAAATTTTCTAAAGTATAAAAATATCTGAGATGCTAAAATTATTAGTTTAGTACAGTTACATTAGACATCTGTAAAAGAATCAGTCTTTTAATAAGGCAGTCACTTTACAATATAAATGATAAATATTCAGTTTCTAAAATGACACTTCTAAATTTCAGAGGAGCAATAGGAAACACGTAAGAAAGCAGATCAATTACTCATGTATTGTCACTTTGGTGAAATAATAAAATGTTATGAAATATTTTCAAAAAAATTTTTTAACTTGAATACAAAAATCTATTGATTCAGTTGTTTAAAAGATCATGGGTTGTAAAGTGTAACGATCACAAATAGACTAGAGACTGGTCTATTTCATATTCTAGCAATGATGAAAAATTGTTCTTTTTTAAAGTTAAATATTAGTTCTGTTTGTATTGAGTTTACTTGTCATCTCGAAATATCCAAGAGGACTGCTACTTGTAAAAGTAGGTTGGTTGTAAAATATACTTATTTAGTTAATCTAAATTCATTGAAAATGTGACACTGTATCCAGTAGGCCCATTTATAAACTAAGTACTTAATAAAACCTCATTGAATATAATGGTACCAAATACTAATATAATCTTTCGGCTTTAATTAAAAAAATGTTTACGCACTGTACATATTCCCTTTCAGAGACATGAAGCCATATAAAAACATTCTAAGACTTTACATGGCTGATATAATAATCTTAAACATGCTAAAAATAAAATTCTGATGACTATTGATAGAGATACATTAGAATTAAATACTGTTTGGCTTTTGATTATTTTTAAAAAAATAAGTGACATGACCCTTCTGTGACTCTCATTAGGTTTCCTTATTTTGAATTCACAGCAAGATTCTGTGTTGTTTGAAATAATTCTTTAGTTTTATAATACTCGTTCTGTCTTCCTCTTAATTTTTCATTGTGAGATTAATGACAAAGATGAGTCATATACCTATGGTTTGTTTCTTTCCAAAATGATACGATGATGTATAATTTGCAATGATGTTATTTCAGTATTGTCACAAGATTAGATCTCATAAAACTATTAGAAAAACTGCTAAAACATTTTTTTAATCTGGATTTTTCCAAGTTATGTTAATTTCCCAAAGACAAAAACTTTTACTTTCTGGCATTGAAATATGTATATATCTTATTTACAGAATTTTATCATTGTTCAGAAATTTTAAATGAATGATAAATGCATCTTACATTTCATGACAAAACATAGTTTTTAAAAGTTTTTGTATACATAATGTTATTTGACTTCAAACTAGTCTTAGAGTAAGACAGACTGAGAAGATAGACATTATGTTGTAGTGCAGCCAGTTTGGGTTCAAAGGAGTCATTTAACTTGCCCAGGATATATGGCTAATAGGTCACAGAGTTGGGGGTTCAAATCCAAATCTTCTATCTACTAGCCTAGTGCTTTTACTAGTAAGCTATAGGGTGTAAAAAATACATCTATATTGATATTACTTGAATTGGGAAAGAAAAACCAGAATTGTCATTTATCTTTTTTCTAATTTAATTGTACCATTTTGAAAAAATAGAACAAGACATTTCTGGGCAACTTATTCAT